GTAAACATGCACATAAAAGGGTGCGCTGAGCCCACTGGCAAGCGCTTGAGTCTCCATCGTCTGCAGCTGTTTGTCCACTTCAAGGCACATCGTAATCGGCATCCAACGAGGTGAGGGCCCTTGTGTGGCACTAAAAGCCACATCCAGGCATCAACAATTCCTGCATTAGGCTTCCAGCGACACCATCATCAACATCACACCCTCCTCAGGTAATTACACTTTAACCAAAATCGCTATGACATTAGACTGAATTACATGCAGAATTAAAAACGCTCCTCTTTTAGAGTTGTAGGTCGGAATTGAGCCACTGTAACAATGACCCCAATCATCAAGTGACTATTACGTACGGGGTTTAATACTTTCAACTTAAAAACGTACAGCTAACGATAGTTTCTACACATCTCGAGGAGCCACTCAAACACCCCAGCAACCGAGTATTCGAAAGGATGGTGACTTACTGTTTTTTAAAGTGCTGCACACCTTCAGCAATGCCTGCCGTGGCCCCACCCGTCAATCCCGCAGCCATGCCACCAACCGTCGCGGCCAGACTCAGTCCACCAGTTAGTGGTGCTCCAACGAATCCGATAATGGAGATGACCGTTCCAAACGTTCGTAAAGAAGGGCTGTGACACAAGCGAACAACATCAAACAATGGTTGCTCACACTCTGCTCTGTAACTGTAGATTGTAATGTGACAATTTCCTTTTGTTCAATTGTTGCAGCCTTCATGGACAGCAGTTGATTGCAATTTGAGTGTTACATGGTAAAACACACCACACAACAGGTGAACAGAGTTCGATGAGCATGTCTTCAAAGTGCTGCGTTGTTGCACTTCCATGCATTAAACAATTAGTCTTTGGTACACTTTCTTTGCCTCAACAGTTTAAAAGGGTTGAATCCTGCTATTGTGATTAGGGTTAAATTTTCGATCTAATATCTTTTTTTAAAATCACATTCATGAAATCGTTCCTCGCGGACATACAGAATATCTGAAGAACACGTTAGCTGTCAGGTTTCCCGTGACGCATCACTTGAATTCTTTTCCAATTTAATAAATTATGGCCTAATCTGCAAAGCACGTGCTTGACCAATAGGGCTGCACTGACCTTGGTTTACACCTCAAAAAATGAATTTCAAAACAGAACAGTAAATGAAACGATGTCAACGACTGATTGACCATTCACGACTGTCCCGCACTTGAGCTGTGCTTGAAGACTACATTATAGTGCGTTTCCACAGAAACAATTCAATCTGTTTCTTAGCTAGTTTAATTCTTTACCATTGCCTGCACAGCGCTTAATGTGAGCTGGATTGATTCTAATCCACAACTAAATACACTTGGGTAAATGTGTTTTTGCGATGGGAATGCATGGGAACTGCGATAACCAATCAGGCAAAGGGGAATGAATTTCATCACATAAGGCTTGTTTGTTATGCTACAAGTTAATTATACTTAGAAAAGTGAGTAATATGACATGGTGTTGGATTTTTTGGTGAGCGCATGTGACAAAATGTGGATTGAAAACCAACACATGAAGAGCAGCAACTGTCTTTGGGAAATGGCGCCAGTCGAATGCACGCTTCGGTGCCTTCAATGGTCAGCAATCGTTCAAATACCCTCTTTTGATAATAAATACCTGCCGAATCATTCTGTAGATCTCCAAACCATGGTATCGCACATTCCTTTTTTTTCTAATAAGTAAATGAAAACCAGTATCTGTAGAATCGTACAGAGTGAACTGTATCTAATTTAGGAGATTTATCGCGTGTAAAACTTATGCATTTACTGAAACACAATTCACGAACGTCAAGTCACCCAATAATCTAATCGACAGCACACATTTTCACAAATAAGGAAACCCACATGGTCTGTAGTAAGAGTCAGTCTCGGTTCCTCTGCGTCTTCTTTAGTTTCAGCTCTCCAGCAACAAGTCTAAGAGCTTGGATGTAGGAGAATATTTTATTGATTGTTTCTTCTAAATCCATTTCTGCAAATAAAAGTCACTTTAACTTCGTCTGCCACATTGTTCTCGCACAAATATCTACCGCTAGCCAATTAGGCGATGGTGATTTGTATTGCACACGCGCGCAGGCAATCCTGCTTGTGCTAGAGTTTAATGAAAGCTTTATACAAATTAGTAGATTCACACACACACTTGCTAAAATTCTGTGAAATTGCCTGGAGTTGCTTGGGCCCATCATATTTTATTTTTAGGACTCTAGACTCAAACCGTTTATCGTTGATTGCTTGTCAGTCTAGCCTTTCAGGTATTGTCCCTATTCATCCAAAATAATCGCTTGATTCCCTCTAAGCAATTCAAACAACACAACAATAATGGATTTGTGGTGCCTTGGTAAGCACTCCCTTGCAACCCTCTATTTAACAGCTCGCTGTAACCGGAGAAAGGATTAAGAAGAAATGACAAAGAAAATGACTGTTTCTTAGTGTCTGCAGAATAGCTACCTATAGTGGAGCAGACACATCGGACCACGCTGGCCTCAGCCAATTATCTGTCTCTCTGTCATCCAATGGCATGCGAGGAAGATGTGCAGCCAACCAGAGACAAACGCATAGGAGTAGGCGGAGAGCCTAGCGTGATGGACTCGGATGGACAGCGCCTGATGTGTGGTTCTGGCTTATGATTGGTCAATGAAGCTGTATCTGTTGTACCAATATTTTTCATACTAGGGCCCAGGTATTCTACATGTCACATCACCCAAGTGCGTATCTTATTTTGTGGATGAGTGAGGAAATGAGAGGCGCCTGTAACAGTAACCAATGGAAAGAAAAGAAGTCATTGACTACGTCAGGTCAGTAAACAGGGACCACTCAGGCGCGATTGCTGCTAATCCGTTACAGATTTGCCCTCATCTCATTGGCTTGCGTTGTTTCATCACAACTAACTTATGGTGTTGTCCATTTAAGGCGTATTTCTACAATAAGAAATAATTCCACTACTTCTAAATCACCTTGGATAAATCGCCTCTCCAAATCGACAGAATTTGCCTAAAGTTAAGCAATCCTGAATAGCTGACATTCTTGATGTGCAGGTACATATTACATCGTTGATTGCGGCTAGCTGAAACTCTCCACAAACGTTTTTTTGAAACAAAAATGTGGTCTCTTTGCTTATGGTTTCGCATATGCCTCAACGATAGACGATAATTGCACAATCTGAATCCAAAGACCTGGGTTGCTCGCATCAAACCACCAGGTTTCCTCAAGCAACGCGATGTGTAAACATGCAAATACATGAATTGGATGAGCTTGCGTGGCAAAGCACATGTTAAATTGCTGCAAAATATATTGGATGATTTATTACTATCGTCACAAGCAATGCTAACATGCGAATACGGACCGGGCAGAGAGCAGCGTTGCATTAAGGGACGAAGAAAGAGAAGGTGCGAGACGAGTATTGAAAGAATGTGGCCAAGCAATCGAGATTGGTGGGTGTGTACAGCTTCATTAATTCGCATATCTTATTTGAGCAGGGGTCCTGGTTATCTTCTTTGTTTGTTGTTAATTTCAGTATATGTATCTAGCAGAAGATACATCTAAAGTCTTCTCTTCCATCGACCTGAGCCCTTCTTAATAAGCTACTTACAAGACATGGGTAGTAATGGTAAGAGGAAGTGATAGTTGTAGTATCTTTTGTACCAATTGGAAGAGGCATATTTGGCAAGATATATTATGTGTAGAATTAAAAGAGGGTGGGTGAGTGAGTACGTTTTCGAGACGAAGGATAATTTGAAGTTATGGTGGCAAGGTTCGGCTGGAAGACAAAGGATAGGGTAGTCGAGGAAAGATTGGAAGTGGGGAAGTTTACATGCAGAAGTTGCCTGCATCTTCTCTTCTTTTCACGCAATCGTGAGATGCAATTATTTGCCTTGCGCACTCCAACAAGCTGGTAACATTTGTAACATGCGAATGCAACTGCCCGCTAACTGCGCGGCTGTAAGTGCATCATCGTGGACTTCGACAACGAAGAAGCTGATAACGCCGACTACCGATGCATCAGCAGTGTGCGATGTTGTAAAAGCGAAGCCAGGTGGTGTGTGAGTGTGAACGGACACATGTCTTGGCAACTACGACGTGGAGCGAATACGATGGTGTGTGTGTTTATTGGAGCACTTCTGAGTTGAGTTTTTAAAACAATAAAGTATGAAAATTCCATCGGGTACGGGTAAAGTGAGATACCGGTACAGGTGGCGTTAGAATCAGAGCATAATTGAATGCATATGGAATGTAGGCGCGTAGCGTGCATGGCCAGTATATAAATAATGGGGATGTTAGAAAAATTTCATAAAAATAAGTGGGCAAGAAGTGCTGATGTTAGTATAAACAATTATTTGATCAAGATAAAATGGTGAAGCTAAGCACTACAAAGTCTTATATTGACTTATAAATAAAGACATTAATTTTCTTCGATGCGTACGCTACCTGCCTTTACGTTTTGATATTGTTCACAATGGTAAATTCATCAATCACAATTAGGCTTGATATGTAATTTTACGAATATAATCTCCTAAATCTCCCTAAAGTCTGACGAAATAACTTTGTACTAGTTTAGTAGCATTTTTAATCTTTAACAATTAGATTGAGGTAAGGATTTTGTGGAACAGCTTATTTTAACTTAACATTTTTGAAGGCAGGTTCTAAGTAAGACCCAAACAAAAAGAATATTATTTAATCACAGAATAATAATAGGCTTCGAAAAATTTCTTTCCGAAACGTCTCGTTTTACTTTACGAAAATTCTGCAAACTTTGTTACACCCGTTTCAATGACATAATTTAAGGTCAATTTGAGGTAAGTGACACGAATTTAAGAAGTGTGACGCGCGCCATTCGACCCACGCACGCCGGTCTGGCCTGTTCCTTGTCCTCCTCTACCTTCCCGCACTCTCGCCTTCCTCAATGCACGCCCGTGAGTCCGAGGGCAACGCCAACCCTCCTCGCGGCCATCCCTTTCCACACTCTAACTCTCCCATAGATCTAGCCCTCTGAGTTTGTATGCGGAAGTATGGAATACATCCGGTTCTTCCAGCTATTCTTCTATCGTGTGCCTGGTATCTAAGCCCGATGGTGTGGCTATCTAAGAGGGCCGGGCTAACAGTCATCTCCCTATTTAGGTCCCCTCTCGGTAGGCGCGTTACAGAATTGGCATTTAATGTCTATTACTGCGATGAGATTTGTTGTTAACCTATGACTCTGCTACGGGTCAATGTTAGCATTTCACATTGTCTTTCAATTAGAAAACATATCTGTGCTGATTAGCAGTGTAGGTGAAAATGAATTTATAAAAACATGTTCTGATTAATTTTGAGTATACCTCGCTATTTATGGTTGGTACATTACAGTAGGATACATTTCTCAAGATTGGTTTTGTACTAAATGCTATTATATTACTGTTTTTTTTTAAATGTATTTATCTTTTTACGAGCTGGAATGAATTTAATTTATTTAACTGAAATTTGATCGCCACTAGTCGGATATTTTGTAGTTTTTTAATAAAACACAAAGCCTAGATAATTATGTCTTTTTACAATCAGAAACATTTTAGCCCATTTTGAAAAAAACATATTTCCCTACACCACGTTTTTTCTCCACTATATAAAAAAAACGAATTGCAATTTCGAAAAAAAAATGCAGAAATAAAATCCACATTTAAGAAACTAACAAATAACCTGTTAAAATTATTGGCGTACAGATCACACAGTGGTGATCCCTTTAGTTCAAAATTATTTTTTCGCCACTTGATTCTTGTCCTTAGTGAATTCAAAGCAAAAATCGTTGTGGTAAAATGAGGGGATATGGCAAAGTGCCCCTGTACTCACCTTTCA